TTCGGCAGCCATTTTGTCATTTTTACATAGTTTTGGATCTGACGGCTAGCCTTTTTCAAAATTCCTGCTAGCCGTCAATTGACGGCTATTTTTGACGGCTAGCGGGAAACAACCATCGCTTTTTAAGTTAAACGAATCGAGAATTCACGTTTCGATCATTGTAGCACATTGGATGTTGTGATGGCCAAATGAAATTTGCTATTCCAGAATTGGTGCAGTCATTCTCGGATCGTTCTAAAATGAAAGACTTCTGCTGGTGAAAAAATGTTGTTGTTTTTCTTTGGAAGAAAATCAGTTTCCAGGAAGACTTTCTCCCAAAATGTCAGGAGGAGGAAATCCCCCTCTCTAATCGAAAGCTATGTTGTGACCCAGTCTCATAGTAGTCAAATTCTAATGGGTGTTTGAGCCAGTCGAAACTCCGATCCGAATTTGACCTGTAATTTATGTTAATGTATGTTTGTTCTTTGACTATGAATATAGATTTTTATTCTTGCTTCGTTACTGAACTTTGTTGAGCGAATATTACTAGAACATAAAATAGCTTTGAGCGTAGCGGCAATTTGCGATAACTATGTTCCTTCCAGTATTTAAATATAGTACGAACAGAGATCCGCGCGGACCGAAAGTTTTCGGCCTAGCGCAACCACTCTTAGAAATTTTTAATTCCCATCAAGTCTTTTGATAGAAAATTCTTCCATCTATAATGCATTCGTTGACTAACTGGTGTGGATGTATTTCTAACGCTAATATTTATATTTCCACGACTTTCTGTCCTGATTTTTATTTTCAACCTTTGTAACTAGCAGGTGAACATTGATTCAGCTACAAAAAACAAACACAAATATTAAAATATTGATCAAATATGTTTATGCTGGACATAATGATTCCATTGATTCTTGATCCGACCCGGCCTGATGAAACTTTACTTTTCGGGACATGCCTGACCATCCACTCTTAAAAATTTACTAGGTTTGCCTGGTCTCATACAGTACACATACAGGCGGACATTTAGCAAAAAATCGAAAGTATGGTTTTTTTTTCGTTAGAGAGAATTTTCGGTATCTATTAGCGAAAAACACTTCGATTTGTATCAATAATTGCAGAGGAAAAAAATAAAATTATCGGCGGATTCATGCTCCTTCCTATGTCTCGCTTTTTAAAGAAAACGGACGATATTCTTTTTTATGCAGCCTTATGCGCTGATTCCCAATATCACATTAGTTTTCAATAAAAGTACTTTTGGACTGCTGATAGTAGATTTTATGCAGAGCCGTCTCGATCTCTCCAACTTTATGGGGGCTCAGTTATAAATGACTTAACGACGAGCAAAAAGAAATAATAAAAAGGAAAAAGATATCATAGTACTACATTATCGCTTATCTTAACTTTTTAATGCTTTGCTAAATTGCTAAATTTTCAAATATTTCTGAAAATTGGAGGGGGTCATCTCCCCTCCCCCCGTTCGGTCCTGATTTTATCTAAAAAATCCGGGTTTTGCCGGTAATACCGCCCAGTTTTCTTTAACGAAAACGAGACATCGGTTATAGATCCTTGAAGCTAGAAGAATAAATAGAAAGAATAGTAAGAAAGAATAAATACAAGAATTATGAATTAATTATTATAAGAATTAAAAAATTTAGAGCAAGGATCCCCCTTAGAGATATTTCGTCTAAAAAGTTTTTTTCAAATTCAGGTCTTCTCAATTTATAATAATATTTGAAACGTAGTAAAGTAGTATTGAGTAAAAAAGTCTCTTTCTGAATTAAAAAAAACACATGTCCACCTGGTCTATAGAAAAATGCCCACTATGTCTCATTCGTACAGATCTCTGATGCAGAAGTTCAGGAACAGAAAAACATCATTTAGAGAATTATACTAGTTTTTTTAATCGATATCACTTTAGAACATTACTTGCTACAGGCTTTCAACATAACATGATGCTATTAGTTTGTGTTTTTTATTAAGTGTCGAAAAGATATTTATAACTTAGTTTGTGTGATATTCAAAGCAACAAGAATAAATAAAAATGCAGTTTATAAAAATAAAAATAAATAACCATCTGTACACAAACACAAACACACACACATAGAGAGAGAGAAGAATAACATATTATAGAATGCTCTATTTTCTGGATGACAAACAAAACAAAAAGGAAAAGATAAATAAAAATTACGTATTAAAACGATAATATAACTTGTCATTTTTATTCTTTCATTGGCAAAAGATTATTTTGTTGTAACGTGTTATTTGCATTACTGAAATTGTTATTTTTGGTCTTTTTAAAATCCTTCCTTAATTGTCTTGAATTTTCACCCGGTACTCGGCAACGTGGACAATACCATTTTCCTTTCGGCTTTGTTGTTAAATTAACACAATTGAAATGAAACCATTCAAATTCACACGCTTTATTATCACAACAAATCATTTCACCATAAGACTCCTAAAGAATAGATCAACAACATAATCAGAAAGTGAAATGCTAATTTCGATTGAAAGAAAAATGAAAAATAGTAGATCCTCTTGTTAATGTTTGAGAGTAGTAATAATTAACATCATCGAATACGTACTTGTGAACATAAACAATATGTTGGCTCTTCACTATTCATAAAAACAACAGTTTCATTTAATTTTGGTTTTTTATTTCCATTACTACCACCGCAACTCGTACTCTGATTATTATTTACGGTATGACGTTGAGAGGATTTCTTTCGATCGCGACTATGCTGATGAGAATCATGATCATTTGCATTCGACTAAAAAACAATAAAGGATAGAGTTTATACTGGTAAGAGAGTATCTTCAAGTACACATCGGGATATTACCTTGTCGTGTTGATCGTTACATCTTCGTTTAAGATTCATTGTGGATGATAACGATGTTGGTTTACGCTTCCATAACGATGTAGCTGCACTATCTCGCTTTAGATCATGTTTCGAATAATGAGATGAACGAAGACCTTAAAAAGGAAAAAGAATTTGACATATTAATTTTATCGATAAGTAAAACAGCAATTTTTGTTATGTGAGTGCAGTTCGATGTGCGACTCATACATTTAATATTGCTATAAAGAATAGAAATTTACTTAGGTAAGTACCGTAATGATTACACAAGTAAGATGTTTAGCTCAATAAACTTTGTTAATGCCTAATGTCACCGCACGTACCAGGCTTGAACAAAAGTTAATATTGTAACAAAGAGTTATTGACACATCCACTAATCCTGTAAATGAGATTAATTTCTAATCAATATTGCGATTTGTCCTAATATGTTTAGATGATAAAATCTCTTACGATTAATCCCATCTGATTATCCACATATACAGATTAATGTTATAGCGTGAAATATACCTGATTCTGAATCATATCCATTATCCGAATCATACTCTAGATTATTATCTGATGATGAACCATTATGTTGATCAATTGATTCATCTAAAATAGAAAAAATAAAGGATTTTAAATAGCAAACCATTGAAGAAAATACGTACTATATTTATGAAATGCATCTTTTAATGTTTTTGCTTTTTTTTCTGTTGCATCTAAAATCTGCTGACTAAGACGCATTTTATTATCTCCAATAATTTTCGCTTGTACAAGTGCATTAATCAACATAGTTTGACAGTGTCGTGAATCATGTGACTCTAAACCGCTATTATTTTCAACTTGTAAATGATGAACCAGTTCTTTTACACGACGATAACACTCTAAGATAGAATATAAATCAAATGACTCTTAGAAAAAAAGGAAAACAATTGAATTTAACCTTACCTTGCAACGAAAGATCGCACGTTCTTAATTGCGTTAAAGAATGGCTATAATCAATACAATTATCTAGATAATCCATATACTCTTTTATATATTCCGACGCAATGGTTTGATCAGTTACTGTAAATTGACTCATTTTTTCAGATCTATCTGGAATCAGAATAAAAAAGTTAGGAGAATTTTTCTACAGATCTAACGAAAAAACAGCTGACATTCTAAAGATTTGTAATTTGAATTTTTATTATTTGTAGTTTAATTTTACATGATTAAAATTCGTTAATAATAAAATCGTCTCATCAAAAATAATCTTGAAAATGACCGACGAAATCACTTGTATCAAAAACATTCGACATATTCATGCATGATGTATATTTTGAATTATCATCAACAGTCGTGTAACAACCGAAATAATTTCAAGGTCGGAAAAAAACTTGTCGAATATAAAATGAACTATTTTTTCTTCTGAACGTGTGTACCTCCATTATAATAATAGCTTTATTATTAAAATATCGACTCAATCGATCAGGCAAATCGTTAGGGACCTTAAATAGGGCTCAAACATTGTGTAAGGATAAAACAAATTTTTCATCTGAGATAGTACCAATTTCTTTATAATTAATAATTTGAGATGTATGAACCAGTGTTTATAACATTACGCGTACGCCTTTGTTTCAAAGCGTACGGTACGCGAACTAAATTGAAAATACGCTTTGTATCAACCAATAGGAAAAGACAGAACGATAGAATTCATGAATTACCACGTTTATGTACGCGCTGCTCAAAATTCTCATTAGAAATGGTAGCTGGTATGAACCTTTTGTAAATTGCCCTTTCGAACTATCAATGTGGACGTGTTGTAATCGCTAAGAGTTGTCTCATCCTGTTACCAGGTGATGAACAATCTGTAGAAAGATGTTATTTTACTCTTACAATCTTCTCATACTTTTCCGCTTTCACCTCTCTACATAGAAACAGAAGATTCTTCAATTTTTAGATGCGAAGACTTTTATCCAGTCCTGTGTAGATAAGGTCCTGTAGGATGTCAAACAACAAACTCTATTTTAACGAAAGTTCTTTTTACTTTTAGATAGGAAATCTAACAAACGTGTGGTAATATGTTTAGACAGACGAACGTACATTTTGGATCTCCAACTTTGCTTCTATTAATAAACATCAAACAAATAATTGTTCTACTTGACAACCAACTGATTAAATATTGATAGGTGCGACCAATTGTTTGGCGCACCTGAAAAAACAACATCAGACACAAAATATTTGGCTAGCTTCCTTCCAGTCATACCTTGTACTACGTGTTTCTTGTATATCTTGATCAACATGACCAACGTCTTCCTATTCGCCCATATCAACTCACCTTCTCCATCACTTTCAGTCCGAAATTGTTCGCTGTTATTATATTTGTCGCTTCTTCATCATGATAGCTTTACATTTTTATGATTCTACTAAGTTATTCGATACAACCTTGCCGTCCGAAAAAAGCGATTAAAAATAGTCACATCATTTTCATACTGCAAAATGAAAAAAAAGTACATTGACATGTCATTCAAGAAGTTTGAAAGTCTGTAAGCAGTTGTATTGTGAAGTAAAAAGAGTGGAGATATTAGCACTGAACTGCACTGTAAAAAAAAATAACGGCAAAACTAACAAAAAGTCACGGTAAAAGTGTGGAGAAGGTGAGTTGATATGGGCGAATAGGAAGACGTTGGTCATGTTGATCAAGATATAC